CCCCCCCCCCCCCCCCCCCCCCCTCTGTCTCTCCCTCTGTCTCTCTCCCTCCCTCCCTCCGTACTGCTGCAGCTGATCTCCTGCAGAGTGGAGAAGTGGACATGGCCAAGAGCGATGAGCGTTTAGAGTTTAGAACCATTGTTTAGTCTATTGCAAGAATGTGGGAAGGGTTTAAAATGCCTTTTTATATATATATACAGTACCTTGTGAAAGTATTCGGCCCTCTTGAACTTTTCAACCTTTTGCCACATTTCAGGCTTCAAACATAAAGATATAAAATTTTAATTTTTTGTCAAGAATCAACAACAAGTGGGACACAATTGTGAAGTGGAATGAAATTTATTGGATGTGTCAAACTTTTTTAACAAATAAAAAACTGAAAAGTGGGGCGTGCAATATTATTGGGCCCCTTTACTTTCAGTGCAGCAAACTCACTCCAGAAGTTCAGTGAGGATCTATGAATGATCCAATGTTGTCCCAAATGACCGATGATGATAAATAGAATCCACCTGTGTGTAATCAAGTCTCCGTATAAATGCACCTGCTCTGTGATAGTCTCAGGGTTCTGTTCAAAGCGCAGAGAGCATCATGAAGACCAAGGAACACACCTGGCAGGTCCAAGATACTGTTGTGGAGAAGTTTAAAGCTGGATTTGGATACAAAAAGATTTCCCAAGCTTTAAACATCCCAAGGAGCACTGTGCAAGCAATCATACTGAAATGGAACGAGTATCAGACCACTGCAAATCTACCAAGACCCGGCCATCCCTCTAAACTTTCATCTGGAACAAGGAGAAGACTGATCATATACACTTCCGGCGAGCTGATGGACGGCAGCTCCCTCCGGCTTCTCTGCAGTCTTTTATCATTAAACTGACCCGTTTTTTCGAACCAGAGTAAAGTTGGTCCCCCTTCCAACCGAATTCGGTGTTCAGTGACTCAGAGAGCCGGACGGGACCATCCAAAAATAATTTCGGTCCAGGACCGGCCACTTCCACCCCACCGGTCACTCTGAGTTCACCCTGCCGGCCAGGTGACCCCTCGAGCTGGGGAGTCATCGCATGAAGGTTCGGTGTTTTTTCTCTCTCTCTCTGGACCTCAACGAACTCTCATCAGGACCTTTGTAGTTCTACCTGGTTCCGACAAAAATTGCCGGGTGGTATTTCGCTGCTTTTCTGCTGGACTGGCCCTCGTGGTGTCTTCATAGGTGTGGGGGAAGTGTACCTGTGATCCTCGAACTGGATCAGAACCGAACTGAAGTGGCTATGGGGGACTTCATCTTCAACAGCGCCGGTCTCAGCTTCAGTGAGCAGCCCGTTACTTTTAACGAAGGACTGTCCACCTCCGTGGAATCGCTGTTTTCACCTGGAGGAGACGCTCCGGTGCTTTGATGTGCCGCCGGATGTGCCGCCGGACCGGGCCGCCGGACAGGAGCAGAACCGGACCTTGGACATCTTTAGCCTCTTCGTCTCTCATGCTGTGGAGCGCCGGAGCCGTACTGGAGCAGAACCGGACCGGACCAGTGTCGACTTCAGCCTCTCCGGTTAGTCTCGTTTTTCACCGGGGGTGCCTCTCGTGCTGTCGGGTGCGGAGGTGTCGTGCAGAGAAGTGGAGAAGTAGCGTGAAGGAGCAGGGCTGTGTGGTGCTCGAGAGAAGTTCGGAGTTAGCATTGGAGTTGCTGCAGGCCTCCATCCAAACTCACCTGGATAATAATTATTTTTATTTTGGATCATGCTGTTGGCCCCTGTTGACCTGAAACGAGCTAGGATCATGCTTTTCACTTCAGGAGGATTTTCTGGTTGCTCGCTCTGCTATTTGCTGCAAATTATCTGTTCTGTTTCAGCCTGTTGGTTCTGGACCCAGCTTCTGTTTCCCATGGGAGCATCCGTCCATCTTCACTGGGGGGCCGGAGCCCCCCTCAGCCCAACTCAAACTGCAGTTGGGCCACCTCGTCGGGTTTGTTTGCCCATTTGAACTGTGACGTTTTATGGTCTGAAACTTTTCTGCATCATTCACATTACTGTCACTATTTTCAGTTCTCAGATTATCTGGAGTCACTGAATCTTGTTAATACACCTGAATCTGCCCATCACTGCAACTTTCACTATTTTTGGGTTCTGAATTATTGCGTCTTCATTAATGTTTCTCATGGTTCGATTATGGGGGCTAATTGTCACACTGTTAACTCCTGTAATTACACATCAGTCACAAAAAGCTCAAGAAAATGTCTAATAATGTTGTTACTGCTCTCAGGGATTCAACCCAACCCTGGACCCCCCACTATTTATATGACACCAAATGACTTTTTAAGAACGTGTCTGGTCTTCATTTTCTGCATGTAAACGCACGTAGCCTTCTGAGAAAACTTGATGCCTTGAAAATTCTGGTCAGTTCTTATGGGGCAGATGTTATCTTCATCTCTGAAACCTGGCTCAACAAATCTGTACTCAATAATGACCTGGCAATCAATGGATTTAACATCTACCGCTGTGATCGTCAAAAAAAGGGGGGGGGTCGCAGTTTACATCAGAGATTCTTTGGTTGCTAGTCTTGTGTCTTCTAAAACATTTCCAAACCAGTTTGAAGCCTTATCTGTAAACATCACCTTGAATGGTGGCCAGATCTTATCTGTAGTCTGCTGTTACCGCCCACCCATAGCAACACCTGAGGCTCTGTCTGGCCTGATGGAATTTCTTGGTAATTTAAATTTCAAAGAGATCCTTTTGGCTGGAGACCTCAACATTGATTGGTGTAAGTCGACCCCCCTCTGTGATAAATTCAAGGAATGTTGCCTGTCTCTCAATCTTACCCAACTGATCAACTCTCCCACTAGATTAAACAAAAACCGTCCTGAAAAATCATCCATCTTAGACCTATTTCTAACTAATATGCCTCACAAATTCCCTGGTACAGGTGTATTTGCCAATATCTTGAGTGATCAATGTGTGACAGCGGCTTTGAGAGATATTAAACTTCCACCTTCTAAGCCCAGATTAATTCAAAAAAGGGATCTGAAACGTTTTTGTGAACAGTCATTCCTCTGGGATCTGTCTTACTTTGACTGGCATCGTATTCTGTTAATTGATGACGTGAACTCCGCTTGGAACTATTTTCATAATAGTTTCATTTATTTTGTGAACAAACATGCTCCTTTTCGTCAGTTCAGAATAAAGGGACGAGACAGCCCCTGGTTTACTCCAGAGCTAGCTGACCTCCTGCACAGGAGTGATCATCTTTGGGCCACAGCGAGAAAATCTGACTCAGACACTGATTGGTTGAGTTTTCGACAGATGAGGAATAAATGCACAACTGCTGTCAAAGCAGCAAAACGCAACTATTTCTTATCTCAGACCTCCAAAAGTCTAAATGACCCTAACAGATTCTGGAAAACCATCAAATCTCTCTCAGGCACCCCCCAATCATCTGACCTCCCAGCACAACTTCTCATTAACTCTGTTCCTGTGTCAAATAAGAACGAGATCCTGAACTGTTTCAACAAACATTTTGTCACTTCTAGGTCTTTATTTGACACAGTTACTAACAGAAAATCAGCCACTTCTCTTAATAACCAAACTTCTACAAATCAAATCCCTCCTACAAGTCAATCCTCAGTTAATCACAGCTTCTCTTTTTCTCCATTCTCAGTCAGTGAGGTCAATAAACTGTTAAAAGATCTTGATCCTAAAAAATCTGCAGGTCCAGATGAACTTCCACCTTATTTCTTAAGGCTGGCCGCTCATATCATCACAGTCCCTGTGACCCACATCTTCAATCTCTCCATAAGACAAAACTCCATCCCAGACACTTGGAAAACAGCCTTTGTTCTTCCTTTGCTGAAGGGAGGAGACCCCACCTCACTGAACAACTATTGACCAATCTCTAAACTCTGCATTTTAGCCAAGGTTCTAGAAAAAACTGATAAACTCTCAAATCAAAAATTACCTGGACTCATTTAACATCTTACCTCCACATCAATCTGGTTTCAGGAAACAACACAGCACAACCACTGCTTCACTGAAGGTTCTTAATGACGTTGTTGAAGCACTGGATGCTAAGGATTATTGTGCTGCACTTTTCTTAGACCTGTCTAAAGATTCTGACACTGTGGATCAGAACGTCTTGTGTCATAAGCTCTCAGAAATTGGTTTCTCAGAACACACCATTGGTTGGTTCTCTTAACTATCTTTCAGACTGGAGGCAATGTGTTTAACATAATGGTACTTCCTCTAGTTATTTAACAGTCAACAATGGTGTACCACAAGGCTCAGTCTTAGGACCCACCTTCTTTACAATCTATATACATAATGTAGGTAAAAACATCCCTAATGCATCCATACATTTCTATGCTGATGACGCAGTTGTTTATTGTTGAGCTAAAACTGTTGCTAAGTCTTTCCAGCTTTTGAAATCTGCATTCAACTACATCCAGACAAATTTGGTCCGCCTCAAACTTGTCCTAAATGCCGACAAAACCAAAGGGATGCTTTTTTCAAATAGGAAGTTGGTCCCAGCAGTTCTTCCTCCGATTTTATCCTCAAATGGTGTCCCCATTGAGTTTATTGATTCCTATAAATATTTGGGTATCTTGGTCGACTCGCGTCTCTCTTTGAAGCTCCATGTGGAAAACTTGGTAAAGAAAGTGAAAGTTAAACTGGGTTTCTTTTTCAGAAACAGATCCTGTCTAACCCTGAATGCTAGAAAACGCCTTGTATCTGTGACTTTCCTTCCCTCTATTGATTACGGTGATATTATTTACATGAACGTTCCTACATGAACCCTGCAGATGTTGGA